TCTTTTGATTTAGTAGAGTGTTACTCATTTGACAGTAATTGTTTCGAACGGATTTCGGACGGATAACGGGAGTAGACCCTCTAAAGGTGTCGAACGTAGGGTATACGTTGTGATGAAAAGCTACGACGCTAACGCTGGAAAGACGCTAGTGTGGAGGGTCTCTTAGCGCGAGGTCGCGTCAGTTTTTTCTTCTAAATCAGGATCAGCTGTAGTCGGCATGCCTACGGATGCGATCGGAAAGTGACAAGCAGATTCGTTGCCGACCTGTGTCGAGTCGCGTCCGTACGAACTGATACGAAACACTCGAACGTCTTTTTCGCTCTTACGTCTATGGAGATAAAGCTTTTTCTCATTTTGATTTTACGTTAATAAGTGTGGTGACTCCCTTAGGCTCAACTCAACTACAACGCCTGGCGACGCGCGACGACGCTCGCATTAGTGCGCCCGGATCACAGTGTGGTCGGCGTCTGACGCCTCACTGCGCCCAAGTAACTAAAAGCAAGCAAGTAAAAGCGCGACACGCGAAACCGCTCGACTTCAACCAAGCGCGTCGTCGCGCGTCGACCCTTGACTTCATATTTGCGTAACACAAATTTGTACATTAATAATGGGAAAATAGAGATGAATATGCTGTAGGCGAAAAACATGACGCGTCGCGACGGTTAGACTCTGCGCCAGTGTGAGTTGAGTCTTAGTCTGTGTGTAAATGGCGCCATTTCGATTTTACAAACAAATATTGCCGTTGTTCGCGACTACTGTATTCTGAAAGCTATTTTTGGTAATCACTAATTACAGGTATCTTGACACGATATGACATTATTATGTTCTCAATATTTCGAACGGTTACGCGCTTTATGGGCACGGGAGGTCATATTAAAATCTTCTCATCCTACCGATGGCATACAATATATTATTGTAGCCGTGTTACTAATCATAGCCGCCATGCTAAAGAATGGGAGATATTTGCCATCGTGATGGAAAGATTCCTTGTGATGAAGGCTCCTTTCGTGCACATCATATATCTCACACTGAGAACGATAACGTCACTATGCAAAAAACTTTTTTTTTTAATTTTTAACGTCATCTTGAATTTGAGAGTACGAAATTTATAATGCAAATTCACCCGTGTTTGTTGGTTGTCTAGAATTTGCTACATGACGTAATGACGTTATGCTGTATAAGGGGAGCGGCGCATATGAGACAGCGCGATAATGACATTTTTTTGGTAGTGACAGATCGCTGTGTTGTGAAACAATTTACTAGTAATTCCGTAAAGAATATCGTCATTTTTGGATAGTGTCGTTTTTCACTCGTTTTGCGTTAAGACTAATATAGTACAGGATTGCTAACATTGTACATTAATTTATCGTTTTATTTTCGAAGTTACAAAATAAATTTCATGGCGTAATTTGTTTTTATGAACCCTTTGTCTGCCTGAAGACTTCTACTGCTGAAAATAGGCCTCCCCCAAAGATTTCCAGAAATAAGAAATGTTAATTTACATGAAATGATTATGAGGAATAGTGATACTAAACGAAATTCTCAAAAATACCTTTATTTTATAGTGCTACCAGTATAAAATAAAGTGAAATATTGCATATAAAGTGAAAATTTGTAAAACCGCATTCAATAATTTTTGTTGAGTAAGAAATTGCAGTTATTACAATTTTCAGAACTTTAATTGCTCATTACTCAAAATCAAAATATTGCATTGTGTCACTGTCATTCTCAGTGTGCCATAGGATAACAATTCATACAGTCAAAGCCAAATGTTATTGTATTTAAATATATTCAACAAAATAACATACGTTTATAACATTTATTATGTGCCCAGCATGTTTTATATTTTGCTTACGAAGTAGTTGTTAAATAACCTCATATTTTGTCTTTGTCTATAGGATGATACAACCGATCATCGTCGCTTGAGTGCGTTCCTGGCAATTTTGATATAAACCGTGTAAGTTCCAACTCGGACACTGGCAGAATTCTCCTCTGTGGGACAGAAGCCAAAACACCTACAAAAAAAAACAAAGCCAAATAATCTTTATTTCATAGGTAAACAAATTACGCTTGAAATCGTCATATTGATTATTCTCCGACTGACAGGCTATTCACATTCGTAAGGCAAATTTCCCGGAGAAGAATGATCGGGAAATTCTAAAGTTGCTCTTTGTAAATAAACATTTGTCACACACACATTTATCATACACATTTATCATTTACATTATTTATTTCAAACATAGATCGAGACAACCTGCAAGAGCTATACAGGTCACTGCCACGGATTTACGCAGAGGGTGTAGATAAGTATAAAACGTCCAGTCCGTACTATACCGTACCGTACATCTTAGGTTTTCGTGATTGTTACACATAGGAAATTAAACTATTTTTTTCGGATGGTATATTTGTTTTTTTCAATCAAACCAACGTTTCGGGCCCTTTACAGGTCGCATGGTCACGACTCACTCACGGCAATGAAGCAAGAGTCAGTAGATCCGAAAAAATAGTTTCAATAGTATAAATTTTACAGTTTTACGGCAGTAAGGAGCCTGATGTGATAATCACTTAGTGAATAACCACGAATATATTTTATTTTTGTCGAATTAAATCTCTGTTTTCACATTTGGCCATCAATGTGCCATAGGATAACAATTCATACAGTCAAAGCCAAATGTTATTGTATTTAAATATATTGAACAAAATAACATACGTTTATAACATTTATTAGTATTTTAATGCTATTGTTTTTTTTATTCGTTACATGTCATTCGATAATTACCCTTTATGGCGGAGATTAAAATTTTTATAGACAGTGTAATTACACTTATAAAACTGTTATGTAGAATCTGGCTAAGGCATTAATCTCAAAAGAAATAAAGCAATATTTATAAGTAAAATGTAACAAATGATATTACATACACATATCATTAATTATTCACATATTTAGCTTGTTTATACGCTGTTATTTACATTCCACGTTACGAGAGATGTCTATTTATTGTATTGTAAGGAAATAGGTGACTATTTATTATTCTTCAATAATAATAATTTATTATTGCAATTGTTTGTTTAATTGAAATCCTAAAAAGACAACATTAATCGATGCACAAGAACAGCTACTTCGCATTTCGGCTGTACTGGCTTATCATAATCATAACTAACGCAATCGACATTTTTTGCGAAATTGAGTTATCACAATATCTGGAATTAGAGAAACGAGATATGCAATACCCTTTATGCGGGTTTTTTTATATCTCAATTAATTTAAGTTTTATTGTCAAGCAAAAGGCTGATTTTGCAATTGACATCTTTCCAATAATAAAAAAAAAAACTAGTTGTTAATCGAATTGAAAGTTAATATCATTAATATATATATAATGCAAATGCGTCAGTTATAACTATAGATATAGAAAAAAATGGGAGATATGTATTTTTTATTTATTTATTTAAGAAAATCAACAGCCTTATACAAGTAAAATGTACTTAATGCTAGTCAGTGGTAAGGCCAATTACAGATTTTCTGGATTACATATAATTTAGTCGTAATAAACATACTGTCTCGCATTGCCAATCCGCACAGATAAGTGCGTATTATACGATGTTAAGTATCTAATAAAAAGAAAGAGAAACTTATCACTTGGCGTGTCATAAAATCTACTAACAATAAACACGACTCGTGCTACGAAAGGAAAAAATTAAGTAACTTTAAGCAAAAAGAAAAACAAAAATAAAAGAATATTAATCAAATAATGGCAACCATTATTACTGGCTTAGCGATTCATTCCAAACCGCCATTTTTTTGCACACCAAGTCCTTGTAGGTCTTCTTGACTCCGTGAACAAATCTATATCATGAAAAATATTGTTATATGTACGGCATAACCTTGTGAGCACTGCGTTTTGTCCATAATTAGTTGAGTGATGGGAAACATTAAATAAGCGTGTATGTCTTGTGCGATGGGATCGAAAATCCAATGCCAGTGACGAGTTCAGACAATCAAGCCGGTTTCGAATAATGTCATACAGTAAAACTAAATCAGACAAGACCTTCTATCTTCCAAGTGTCTTCAAATTAATTTTCGACACTATCGGTGTAGGCATCAACACTATATTTAAACTTAAACTTTAAGAATTTTACATATTTCTGGATGCGTTCTATATGGCTTTTGTGAATGTTGTATTTTGGAAACCAGATGCGAAATAAACAGTGTTTATGGACTGAATTGAACTGAGGGATGGAGCGCTTAAGAACATACCACTACACGGAAATCAACATGCATACAGTCAAGGCAAATCCACTGAATCGGCCCTACATGCCGTTGTGGGCAAGATAGAAGTGGCCCTCAAAGACAAAGCAATCTGCCTAGGCACCTTTATCGACATGGAAGGAGCCTTGGATAAAACCAACTTCTCCAGCATACAATCAGCACTGAGGAGGCACGAAGTGGATGAAGTGCTCATCAGCTGGATTAGCAACATGCTAAAATTAAGAACAATAAAAAAAAAACAGCAAATAAGACCCCATGGGCCATAGTAGCGAAGGGATGCCCACAAGGAGGGGTACTGTCGCCTCTGCTGTGGAACATGGTCGTAAAGGACCTCATCATTAAACTGAACAAAGAACATTTCTATACAGTAGGATATGCTGATGACATAGCTATACTAGTAACAGGAAATTATGCCAATGTACTCTGCGACATTACACAAGCTGCACTCCGGATTGTGGAAAGATGGTGCAGGGCATATGAACTATCGGTAAACCCAACAAAGACGGAACTAGTAATGTTTACAAACAAAAGACTACTGCGTAACTACCTACTACCTAAACTCTTCAGTACAGAACTACAGATATCAACCGAATTTCAAGTACTTAGGAGTAATACTGGACAACAAGTTGAATTGGAACAAGCATCTGGACAACAAAATTAAAAAAGCCACTATCACCTGGCAGTGCCATAGAATGGTAGGTAAACAATGGGGACTCTCACCCAAAATAACACTATGGCTCTACACAGCGGTGATAAGATCGATGATCAGCTACGGCGCGATAGTATGGTGGCCACGAACCAAACTCACGACCGCAACCGACAAGCTGGAAAAATTCCAAAGACTCGCTTGCATGGCAACGACCGGCTGCATGAGGACAACTCCGACTGCCATTAATGCCATGCAATGCCATTAAAATTATATGGAAACATATGGGGTACCCTCTTCCGCGTGTAACTGATACATTGGCATTTGTTTATGTTTACAGTGATGTTGTTGCGTGTGTAATAAGCAAATAAATTGTTTAAGGTATCTTGTATTAATTTACAATCGGTGTATGATCTCACGGAGAGAAATACTTTTTTATCGTCTGCGTATAAGAGGTCGCGAGAATTTCTAAAGTGGGAAAAATTTGTGATTCTAAGGATTTCTTAAAGAGCAAAGTGATAGGAGCGCCTAGACTATCAGCACAATTTATTAAGAATACTGGAGGGATGTTAAAGCAACCAGGTCCCTTATCACGATCCCGTGCTACCAACAATTTGTGTACCAGACAGAATAATATCAATACGTGCTCTACTGTCAATTGAATCGGTCGATGTCGTGGGTGTTAACGTTTAAGTTGCCGATACTGATGACGGTACTTTGAAAACACTCTCATAAAATGAGTTAAAAGCTGTACAGATACTGATGCCACTGGTGTATGTATATATTACTGCCAAGAGTAAACTGTGCAAGATAGCTCGAGTCACCTCTTTTTGATTTTACGAACGTCCAAAAATATTTTGGTGAATATCTAAAATTTTTTTGAGAGAGCATAGTAAATTTTTTAAAACATATCTTGCACCCGTTTTTGTCTTGCCCTCTGGAGAACGAATTCGTCGTAATCACGAGGATTGTTCCATTTTTTCCATTTTCTGTGTACCTTAAATTTCTCACGATTGATTTTAACGAGAGCGGGACTATACCAAACTGGGTAGAAACTTTTACTAACAAGTTTTTTTGAACAAACAAATTGATGCCATCATACACTTTCAAGTAAAAAATTTCCACCGCCTCATCAATTGTGCGTGATGTAAACTATGAATGCCAGTAAATTTTATCAAAAAATGAGTTAATCTCGTCATAATTACCTTTAGAATATATGAAGCGTTCCGAGTTTGCATTCTTTATAGGTTTAGAAAATATAATGACGCTATGCAAGATCGGGTACCGATGTCGCCACTTTTTAGCTTGTGTGCAATTCAAACTTTACGCTCTATTGTCTACTACCACAACTTAAAGATTTTGATTGGGCTTAAACGTGAAAACGACGTAACAAAATTTTAAAATTTAACAAAATTATACTTACATTGAGTTGAGTAAGAGTTATATTACAATATTTCAATATTTTTTTCATCCTGGTTTAGCCAGTCACCATCAGGTGGAGTTTTAGTAAAAATACTACTAGTATATAATAGCTAACTATTACACGTTAGATGGCACTGAAACTTTTTCGTAACACTAAGAACTCACGGAGCGGTTTTCACCCACGCCTGTCGCGGGACCGCGGCATCTGTAGAATGTGATAGTTAAGTATGTAAAATTAGTAGCACATTTCACGGCGCGTTTTACGCCTGTAGTGGTGACGGTTGCTCGCGGTTGCCGCGGCGGGGTACTAGTAGAACCGCGTAGGACGCCACCACCTGCGCGCTTGGCGGCCGCGTCACCCGCGCACTTTAGTGGTCGGTTCAGGCGCAATGTGGTGAGGCGCACGCTGGATGAGTTCTCTATTAACCGCGCGACTTGCGATTAAGTCCCACTAACTTCGCGGTCCGTTCCGCAATCGCAACGGTTTCGTGCCCGCAACCGCGGTGGCTACGTGCCCGCACAAACTTGCAGGGTCGTGAGTCTTGAAATTAAATCGCTGTCCCGCAGCACCGGCGGGCGCGGGTGGAAACCGCGTGAATTGTTAACCTTATTAACCTTAAACTGACGCTACTCAACGAGTGATGTGGCCCTACCTAATCGATAGTTAGAAACCATGTGGCTGTTTTTAATATTAAAAAAATTATCCATTTTTATACTATACCTTCACTGGTACTGGTGTATTATTAAATTAATATATTCATATAAATTATTATCATTTTCTGAATGGCGGCCACTAGGCTTGGGCCCGTGTCAGTTTTATAAGAATAACATAAAATATGGCGATCGTCGCCAGTGTCAGTTTTCCATTATACGTTACCACGGGTTGGTGAAGCTGTCATTGTCAAGCGTAAACTTGAACCATCAACGAATTTAATAAATTAAATTATGTTGTTTCTTATGAAGGATTTATGTAATTTTCTATAATTGTTTCTAATTTGTTTTGCATGCATACGTAAAATAAAGTCAATTTTATTTTATTTATTTTTTAAATGCATTTGCTATGGAAATTTGAACAAAGTCATAAATAGTAATAAGAAAACCAATATTTCGATTTTCCTGCAGCTTCAATCCAACCTTCTCTCATTTTGAACTCATTGGAAAAACTTAAAAATTAAAAATACTCTACGTTTAATGTACGAGTATAATGGAATTTAAATATCTAAATTATCTAAAACTATAATACGTATACATTTTTCGTCAAGCAACAGCAACGTACAAATTGACATGAAATTGAAACGGTTGCCTGAAATATGAGTTGTGTTAAAGTTACTCGAAATAAAATGTTTAGTAATAATAGTAATGAAATAAAGGAAATAAATTTAACGTGAATGCTTTTCGCTTCGATATTTTAGGGACTTTAATTACAAAAATCATAATAAGAAATTCAAACATTTCAGTAAACATTTATTGTCGACAAACATCAGTCGTCGTCGTAAATGAACATCACTATATTTGAGTCTAGAAATGTCTATGGAGACCAAAAGAAAACATTGAATAATAATAGAAATAGTTACTAAAAATCCAAATATCCGGGGAATGTTATCTCACTCGTTTTAAAAAAATTTTATTTCACTCCAATTTTTACAAGGTGTATCGCTACAATTTGGCATTTTCACGTTTTACGAGAGATCTTGTATGTATAACGATCGCCATGTCACTCTGGCGATGTTTGTAGGCGTGTCACCTCGATATGGTCGATTATGGTCATGACCATATCTAGGCGACGCGAACCACGCCCCCATACCATATCTCCCTTTTTTCTATATCTATGGTATAGACACAATTGTTTAAACAACTGGACCACCTGATATTTTAAAATGATTCTAAAGGACTATCCACACACATCAGGGCCGTGCCCGAGACGTGAACAGGGCATGCTAGTTTGTATGAACTGCGGGCCCGGACACGGACATGTGTGAACGAGATCATGCAAAATATACGCAACGATTTTTTTTAAGCTCCTGACGGAGCACGGCCCGTCCTCGTCCCGGGCACGTCCCGTATATGTGTGGATAGACCTTAATATTAGAGGTTAAAGTATGAAATTGCCGTTTTATTGCAATAGGTTCTTTGAATTTTCATAGAATTTTCATGGTTTGAGGTTTTCGAATGAAACTTTTTTCAAATGGTTTCTGTGATTTTTTTTTTAAATTTGAAACATTTGAATATCGACTTTCAATTGTTTTTGTTATTCAATTTAGAAAAGAAAGATGGATACTGCGAAAATTCGAGTGATTTTTGAATACGAGTTCCGACGCGGAACTAACGCGGCAGAAACAGCCCGCAATATCAATGCTGCGTTTGGAGAGGGGTCTACTAATGAACGCACCGTGCGATTTTGGTTTAAACGCTTTCGTGATGGAAATTTCGACTTAAAGAACGAGCCACGAGGAAGACCGCCCACACAGGTGAATAACGATGAATTCAGAGAGATAGTGGAAGCCGATCCTAGTCAAACTACCCAGGAATTAGCGGCATGGTTTAACGTTACCTTACCCACAATATTGACTCACTAGCGTCAAATCAATAAAATAAAAAAATACGAAAAATGGGTACCTCATGATTTGACTGATCTGCAGAAAGAAACGCGTGTTGAAACTTGTGTTGCCTTGTTGAACCGGTACAGAAATGAAGGAATATTGGATCGAATTGTAACATGTGATGAAATGTGGATTCTTTATGATAACCGGAAAAGAAAAATGCAATGGCTGACCCCAGGTCAAATGCCACAACAGTGTCCTAAAGCAAAACTTACCAATAAAAAGGGAATGGTAACTGTTTGGTGGTCTCAGCATGGTGTTATTCACTATAGTTTTCTCCGATCTGGTCAAGCAATAACGGCAGATGTCTATTGTGCCGAACTCCGAACCATGTTGACAAAAGTAGCAGTAAAACAGCCCCGACTCATGAATCGATCTTCACCATTATTGCTCCACGACAACGCGAGACCTCACACAGCACGAGAAACCATTTTGACCCTTCAGGAACTGCAGTTAGAAACCATTCGTCATCCTCCGTATTCACCAGACCTTGCTCCAACGGACTACCATTTTTTTCGTGATTTGGACAATTATCTACGTGACAAGAAGTTTTCTTCCCAGGAGGCAGTACAAAATGCTTTCACACAGTTTGTGCAGTCTAGATCGTCGGAGTTCTATCGCAAAGGCATTAATAACCTTCCCATTAGATGGCAGCAATGTATAGATAATAATGGCAACTATTTTGATTAAATAAATTTGTTAAAAATTTAAAAAATAAACAATTTAGATTTTCAGTACAAATCGGCAATTTCATACTTTAACCCCTATTATTTAATAATTCTTATTTTCACTTATATATCGAGTTTTCCGCTAAGTAATTTTGTAGGTGAGAGGTAAATAACTTTAAGTCCATGTGTTGGAATTTAGAATAGAATAAATTATAATAGAAACCATTTATTACATAACGCCACAACACAATAATACACAGTAAGAAATTAAAAAAAGATAAAGCTAAATTAAAACAAAAATAAAATAAAAATAAAAATAAAATTTTAATGTATTCTACATTAAAAAAATTTTTTAAAAATAAAATCTTAGTAAATGGTAATGAAATGATCACAAAGATAGTCAACACTATTGTGTACTAAGTAGATGTCATGTGTGCGCTTGTGGCGTATGTAAAAGGATCCACTCAGCTAATGTCACCCCGCCGGGAAAAGGCTGTGACGCTGATTTTCAGTGGACCCTACAAAATTTAGATGTTTTTACAAACATTGTTTTAGGGTGAGTACAGATCTGGCGAATGCGCTGCATGCGAGTGAGCGGCACGCGAACAGATATCACTACGAAATGCACGCGTGCAGGCGCATTCGCCAGATATGTACGCACCCTTGGGATGCTGTAAATCACGCTGTGGTAAAAGATATTAAGTGCTATCGTCGTTTGTTTTTAACATGTTTTATTTGACTTTGTATGCCTAATTAAGAGTCTCATTCTATTTAAAATGCTCTGTAATAAGAATTACTATTTGGAACGGAACATTGGTTCTTTACCTCTCACCTACTGAATTTTAAGAACTTCTACAGGTTCTGTTATTCAACAAGTATTGAGGGAGTATTATGTCAAGCTTCCATGTTAAATTTTGAAAAGAACTGTTTGCTGTTGTTTCGTAACTTGTTGATATGCTAAATAAGACCGGCAAATTATGTTATGTTCTTGCTAGATATCATTAAAGTACCGGCACGCTATAAAGGCCGTTTGACGTTTGTCCGCTCATCAAGTTCCGTATTAATTCATAAGTACGTTGAAGGAGCTAATTGCTGTACATTGTTGTTAATAGTAACGTGCAGTAAAATTTATGGAATGTATAATTTGACTAGAATTTTATTTTGAAATTCGAAATTTAAAAAAATGAAATCTAATGATGAACCTAATAAAACTTATACCTCCGGTAAACTGGCGTTAAAGCTCAGTGCAAAACAAAGCAGTTTCGAATTGACAATATATTCAGTTAAAATGTTTATTTTCGTTTTATTAAAACTTTTTAATCAGCTACCCTTGCAATACTAGTTATAAATCTAAAAACTATATTTTTTACGATAATGTATTGAGATCTGGCCTCACTATTGTAATCTGTCAAAACGGCCATCATACGTGCCGGTACCGGTACTGTAGGTGAAATTGCTGCCAAGCGGCGGCGGCGTTTCATGTGTTAAAAATATTTATTTTTAGAATACTTTTAAACATGAAAACAGCATCCAAACATAAAATAATTATGTACTTCAGTATCATTAATTTTTTAATTTAAGTAATATGGAAAAAAAATTTAATGTAGGTTACACCAGTTATGCGCTGATTGCCTCATTTAGAAAGCATATATTGGAGTTAGGTTATTATGTTATTTTAATTTACATAATAAACAACTTTTTGTAACTTTAATTAATTATGTAGTAATAAAACTTTTGAACCTTCTCTTAATAAGTTACCTACTGAACCGAAAATGACTTCATTTGCTGTATCTAACATCGGCTTGCCTTATTCAATTATACATTCTTCGCCACTGTTCTGAAGTGACAACTCAGAATGTGTTCCATAATCATGTATCAAAGTAGATTTAGTAACTATTATAATTTATATATGTATTATATAATTATTTTTTATAATACCAAGTGACGGGACGAACAAGTCGTGCGCCGGTTGGTAAACGAGATGCCTATCCCTAACAGTTGCAGTGCCACGCAGAGCTATAAATTGCAAAGACTTTAGGGGCACAGCCACTGTGCTCGTCACCCTGAAACTTAAGTTGACAAGTCTCATGTGCCAGTAATTTCTCCAGCAGCTTACCCTTCCAAACCGGAACGCAGTAATGCTCACATTATTGCTTATATATGCTGCTGAAATAGGTAAGGTGGCAGTGTTTCCCTGGACGAACTCTTTCACAAGGAGCTCTACTGCTACTAAATTATTATTTTCATATTGTGTTTTCATATGTTTTCAGGTCCATCGAATCTTACATCGGCCAACACGAGTAACTTGTCGTTGTCTCAATCCAGCATAAGTCAAAATGTTAAGAATCTTATGTCACCTTTGTCGGCATGTATTATTGAAACTGGTAAGCAAAATCTTTAAAGCCACAGCCACGGTATGTATTCAGGGTCTTCATGGTTGGCATTGTCACATGCTGCCATTGTGCAATTAGATTTGCGGTAAAGTGCCAGTGAATGTGTTGTAGGGGCATTGCTGTAGCCATGTGTTAGTTAGCATGTTTTAAGTGACGCAATAGCTCTATGCAAACGTTTCATATTATTATAAAACGTTGACATAGCGCTAGTAGATAGTAGTATTTAGATTTAACCACTAATTATTAGTGATTGTTAAAATAATGATTACTTTTTTAATTTAAAAAAACAGACCTCAAAAGTTTGGGGTTACATCTACTTGCTAAGTTTTATTGAAATCGGTTAACGGAAAGTGGGTGAAATGCAATATACCTCATTCATCCCCTAATTAGCTACCCTTAGAGGTGGAATGTTTTCTTCAAGTTTAAAAGAGACCATAACTGAGGTACCTCCTGTCCGACAAAAGAGAATCATCGAAATAGGTTCACTAATGTCGGAGTGATCACGTAACATACACACAAAAAATACTGTCGACTTGAGAACCTGCTCCTTTTTTTTGAAGTCGGTTAAAATGTGTATAATGTCATTAAGTGCAGGAAACTGCCCGTTTATCATATGGCCGTATTTCTTTTGCAGCATTAGTTCAAGATAAGGGACGTGCTTTTGGCATTTACGCCATAGCAGTAACAAGGCTATCCGACAAAGAATTATGGCACATATATAGAAGATACAGTGATTTCCACGAACTTCATAGCGCTATTAAAGACAAGGTTAGTTTAAAGACTTTTATTGTCAATATAATATGTGTATAAGCCATACTGAGGTCATGGAACTGGCTGTGGATCGTGAGGTATGGATGAGGCTTCACGCCATTTTTTGTAGTAGAATAACTCGTTGTTATGGGTTACTTATGGGTGGACTAATTTAGGAATTGCATTTTTCTAAATTCATTCTCATTATTTGGGTACTCATTCATTTTCATTATTTTGGAATTCATTCATTTTCATTACTTTGGAAACCATAGTCCAAGGAATTCCGTAGTTTAAAATCAGGTAAATGGTGTAAATTCGTGATACATTTGTTTACTTACAAGTGTGAAACTTTTTCCTTTTGCTGTACATTAAGTTCAATAAGTAACTTTTAGCATTTTAATGTGCATCTTATATTACAGTGGCCTGAACTAGGAAATCTCCCATTTCCGGGCAAGAAGACATTTCAAAATACTTCGCGATCTGTATTAGAAACTCGCAAAAGAATGCTAAACAACTACCTTCAAATTCTCACAAACCTTGCGCGGGAAACGAAGTACATGGCGATTTTGTCTCAGGACTACCTTGGTGGATTCCTCAGTCCTGAGAACCAGACTGAGAAACACACTAATTCGGTAAGTTTTCTTCTTTATAATATTGACGGGAAAACGTCTCGCTCACTTATGCTCCAATTCTAAAAAATAAAAAATAAAAATTATCCAGTAAAATGACACGGGTACAAATTAAAAACTGAAATCGTTATCAACCAGGTGTTATATGCTACTGGACTAGGGTCTTTTCTTGCTTTTTCCAGTCGCTTCTGTCCGTTAATCGCGCAAAGCAAATTAGTAGAAAAAGAAGTAAATGGCAACACTGAGCCGGAAAGACAATATCAATGCCTCCGAGATCTTATTCGCCGTAAGCTGTTAGCTAATTGCGCAGGACTGATTGTAACCAGTTCTTTCTTGCCTTTGCGATAACGTTGCGCCACTACAGTAGCTTAAGGCTCCATTTTAACGTTTTTACGACACACATGACTGCTCAGATGGGTGTATAAAAATCTACTTTAGAGTCTGAACTACTTCGTGATATCTGTAACTTTGTTTCGCCTTCGAATCACAGTGTTAAGAATGCGTTGTAAGTGTGCGCTTTGTCTGGTAACGGTCCGTAATTTCGGCGCTGTATGACATAGAGCAAAAACATTGTTTTTTGCCATGTCAGTGAAAGCCCACTTGGCCTAGTTTCGTAAGACACTTGGCTACATGTAAAAATTACTTTATTTAAAAATTATTTTCTGATATCAATAATTCTTAACACAGGATGTTATAACACACTTGCACATGTAGATTTCACATGGGACTTGTCAGCTCAGGGTGACGGGCACAGTGGCAGTGCCCCTAAGAGCTTTGCGATTACAAGCTCTAAGTGGCGTTGCAACTGTTGTGGATGGGCGTGTCGCTTACAAGGCGTCGCGTCGCTTTGTATTACAAAATCAAAAAATGGGTATGCCGCCATTATGAGAAAGACAGTAGCGGCAGCGGTAACGGCATCATGAGTGTCATTCAGGGTCTAGGGTTCATTCCCTGACTAAACTTCATGTGTATCCTAAACCTAGTATGTACATATTTTATAAGATGTAATTACTAACGTTAGTATTTCTTTGTTTTACTAAACATTATGGGTGAATAATCCGAAAAGAATATTTGAGTTGAATCTACATGAAGCATTGATTTTTCACGTTCAGATCGACGCGATGCTGGTGAATTCTTTGAGAGCTGGTATGAGAACTTTGAAGAACATGCCCGACCAATTCGCGAATACTGTGGACGGTGTTATGGACGGTAAGAGGCGAAAATGAAATGTACACGTGCTCCTATCCACTCCCACATCTTCACCACTTCCCCTTTCTCAATATTGTTTTGATTTCCACCCGCTCAGAAAAACGTTACTGGCTTTCTGCGTAGTGGAGATAAAGTTGCGTTTTGTTCCCTATAGAAAAATTACATTTGAATTTCCACCTTATTTTGTACCGAATGTTCAACGTTGTATTGCGACTAAAAAGAGTGAAAGAAGACTAATTGGACTGTTTAATTTTGTTCTGTTGTTTTGCTGTGCTTAGAAGCATCTTCTACTAATTTACGTCGTCGGGAATAACGTGTAGGGTTTTTTTTAATCCCACGCTTTTTATTGAATCCCACACTATTTTAGAATCTAAAATTTTATCCAAAGTAATATTGAAGTAATGCTCAAGTAGCTCTGTTACGCTTTCACGCCTAAACCAGTGCCTCTACTATGAGAATACAGTGACAGTTTTCGCTAGCCAGCGCGTAAAATGTTTGTATACAAAACGTTGTTTCTTCTTGTGACCACTAGGGGCGCTGTATAATTTGCCGCACAAAATTGTGAAGTAATTTACGCGGTTGCTAGCGACAGTTGTCACAGTAAACTCGTGGTAGAAGCAATGAACCAAACTTGATAAATTTAGGTATAGAGATAGATGGACACAGGAGAAGGACAAAGGCTACTTTTTGTTACAAAAATAAATCTTAAAGTGGGGGAAAAAGGGTAAGAAAATTTGTATGATGATCAAATCATTTATCAAGTAGCTATAGACTAGGTTACTCGAGGTAATTATTCTACGCAGACTAAGTCGCGGGCATCAGCTCGTACTCTTAATCGTGATTTCCTCTGCTTTGATTTGGGTTCAATGTAGCACAGTAGCAGAAACCATTTCCTTTTTTATTTGTAGATGAGTTTTTCATTTAACTATTTTTGTATTGAAAAAATATCATTGTTTATATTTGCAGGCATATCAAAAGTATTTCAAGGGAAAGGTAATGAAAACTATTGCGAAGATTTGAGAAGTGGCTACTCATCGGAAGGGCAAGATGTAAGATTTATATCGCACAATCGCTTCAACAGTGACACAAGTGAAAAGTCATAGTAATTTTGGGTTCTGTTGTGGGCACACGGAGTCTTACCCGATTTTCAGTGAAAAATAAATAAAAATGAATTATTAATACAAAGATCCAACAGTATCCTTCTATCCGGTTGGATTCGAACCAGCACCTTCAGTATACCGGTTCGAATATTTTACTACGTTCGAATATTTTTCTTAGTGTTCTATCTTTGTATTAATAATTATAACAATCTAGTCATTTTACAAAAAATACTTTATTTATTATGTATATTATTTATTTGAATATCATGGTAGTAAAACGTGGTATTCAATAAACTTCATACTAAAACCATTTCAACTTGTATTGTTTGTCTATTGAATAACTAGTAGCAGTAGGGCCCCTTGCATTGACCTACCAACAAATGGACGTCGGGTTCATCATCAAATCAGTCAAATCATATACAGAGCGTCAATCGCGTAATAGTTTTCGTTTGTTCGACTGACAGCACGGGTCAATCATGCGGTACTACATAATAATAACTTGTAAAAATTACTGCAAAGTAAAAGTAAAGTGTGAAAACAGGATTTTGTATCATATTTTCACTAAACAAATACATTGTAATATCATAGTTATAATAACGATGATTTTGTGCAGTTGTATAGTATTTAATTTATATATAAATGAATCGAAAATATAAATTACAAAAGCAAACAAAATAATCAAATAGCTAACTGTCCTTTTTCTACACATTGCATGCGCAAAAGATGGAAAAAACACCCATTAGGTCAATTTCAAGAAGCTTATATAAACTTCTTGGTCATTTTTAATTGTTCGAACCACAAGCGATTGAAATATTTAGAACAAAGAGACTATAGTCGCTTTTATTTTCATCTTATTTTTAAAACGATTTTTTATTGAACGTTAGCAATGACTAACAAAATATTGTTGCAATCGTTTTACGGCTTGGGATTACCTATCAGAAGTCAGAAAATACATTTGCCTGAAATAACGGTAGCTCGAAATTTCATAATGTCAAATGTATTTTTTTAGGAATATTACAAATCAAAAGTTAATTTTGTCTGTGAAAAGCATCAAAATTACTTGAAAGTGTAATGGTTTTATTATAAATCGGTTTTCGGAATTAGGCATATTTGAGTTTACGTTTAGTTGGAATACGGTACATTGGTTATATTACACGCTTATTTTTCCGTGAATTCGTACAAAGTTCGACATAATAATATATATAAAATTAATTAATATTTACAATAAAGGCAGCTCCATTACACTTGTGTTCCAGTAGTTTTCAGTCGAAGTTAAATATGGTGCATTTTGTTAAGTTTCCGGTAGAAGCTGAATATGGTGTTTTTGGGCTTTTAAATTGCTGCAAGCAAAAATAGGCAGTACTGCAATGACGTTACAATTTAAATTAAATGTTTTATTTTTTTTATATTTCGTTACATGTCACTACGTTTGTATCGGTTAACTTC